TTTTCTAAGAGATTCTATCACGAATGAGTGTTAAATTGTATTAAATGCCTTTAACATGTATTAGAATGATAGTTTCAAATTTTATTTTAGATATTATGATTTATGGTAATAGATTTCTAATTAAACCATCTTTGCCTTCCAGGGATTCATTACTACTTATTCTTTTTAAATGATTCTTCACTGGTGTTAAATTTTGTTGAGTGCATTTTATTTAGGATATATTCATTCTTATTAATGAGAATAGGTCATAGTATTATTTTTATGCTTGTCTGTTTCTACATCCAGATAATTTATAAAGTGAACAAATAAATTAACAAATGGCCAATTATATTGGGTTTGCCAAAAGGTTTGTTCAAGTTTTGCTCTAAGACGTTATGGAAAACCCAAACGAACATTTTGGCCAACCCAGTACTTGGAGGATTTGCTAGATAAAGCATTCCAAGAATAAAAACTTAATATTTGTACTATACATAGTATAGTATGAATATATAATATTCACATTTATAAAAATATATGATACTTAGGTATCATATAGCTCTCAGACTGGCTCACTTAGGGATGCCCTGTACTTTAGTTTTTCTGTTAGGGAAAATGTCATTACATTCACTTAATGAATATATCCATGAATTGTACCACCTTAATGCCATTTATATCAAACATAAAAAATGAGTGAGGGGCAGTTATTTATCAAATATATAAAATTTAACTTTTACAATAGTACAATTAATTTATTTACTCATATATTCAGGAAGTTTTATTGAGTATGTATCATGTGTCAGCTACTTCTCTAATGCTCATGGTACTGTGAGAAATAAGACATGTGAGGCTCTTGCCCTTGGAAAGCTATTCTTTGATATACATGAAGAATGAAGAATGTAATGCTGATCAAAGAAAGCAATTTGCCCAAATCCACATATGCTATAAATGGAGAAATTATTTTACTGTGCTAACCTATAAAATTTTCAGTGGATAACTTTTCAGAAAATAGCTTCCATATATGTGTAGTATTTCATAATCAGTTTGATCTAAAGGCAGTAAAATCGATAGGATAACCCTTGGAAATTTCTTTAATTCTGCAAGGCTGCAAATCCTATCAGTTCACTAGAACTGCATTGTCAGAAATATGAAAAAAATAGAAAAATTATAACAATATTTATTGACTTTTACTCCTCAAAGGCTAGGAGTTATGACTATTCCTCTTTCCATCCTTATATTTCGAACTATACACACACTCATTTTAGCATCCCCAAAGCATTTCAAGGTAGGAACTATTATTTCCACTTTAGGCTTGATAAAATGGAGACTCAGAATTTAAAATAAATTGGCCGATGTCATATAGCAAGTAAAGGATCTAGATCTCAAATCTAGGGCAGTCTCTCTTCTATGCCTTTCCCAATGTATGTATATTAACTGCAAGAGTATTATGTGAAGACTAAGTGTTTCTAAAATTGTTTAATTTGAGTTATGCTTTTAGATATTTTTTTAAATGGCTATAAATGAGAAAAAAAAGTTAATTGGTCTGCCAATCAATCATAAATAGGCAGAAGTCCAAAAATGGTGAAGGAACTGATCATGTATAATGGGCTCGATATTGTCATGACTTCATAAAAGCATTGATAAAAGAATAAGCCTTGGAAAAGAATTCAAAAGTAATTTAAGGAGTAAAAAACCTAAGGATAAGAGTTAACTGATAGGGCTTTATCACAATTCTATTGAACCAATCCATACTGAAATTTCCTTTTTGGAGTAGAGAAGGGTACCAGTTTATAACTTTTCAAAGGTACAAGCAGGCTTCCCTTGTGGCTCAGCTGGTAAAGAATCCGCCTGTAATGCAGGAGGCTTGGGTTCAATCCCTGGGTTGGGAAGATCCCCTGGAGAAGGAAAGGCTACCCACTCCAGGATTCTGACCTGGAGAATTCCATGGACTGTATGTATAGTCCTTAGGGGTCGCAAAGAGTCAGACATAACTGAGCGACTTTCACTCCACTTCTGATACATGAAACTGAGTTCCGAGAGAGAAGCAACCACATTTTACTTATTGTTGGGTTCCTGGTAGCTGGCACAGCATGTGCTGCATAACAGTCATTCAGCCAATACTTGGGTAAGTGAATAAATGAGCCTCTAGAGGGAAATCAGTGCAATGGGAAGACCCCAGAAAGACAGTCACTTTCCTCAATCTGATTCTGCTATTAATTGTCATTACTGTTGAACAGAGTTTTAAGTTTCTTATGCCTCACTTCTTAATCAGAGAAATAAAGAGGCAGAGCTAAGTGACCACACAGGTCTTTATTAACTCTAAAATTCTATGATCGCCAATTAATAATATCAGCATTTTTCTTTTCTTTCTTTTCTTTTTCTTTCTTTTTTTTTACAGATTTCTTACCCATCAGAGAGGAGAAGCTCCCACTTGTCAAGACCCCCCCTCCCCTAGTCTGTCAGGGACTCTGACCACAAATTAAACCACTTAGAGCCTTTCCAGAAGCAATCACCACAGATCCTATATCCCCGTTTTCCTTACGTAGTCTTTTTAATCACTATAAAACGATGATTCTAAAAACTTTTTTCCATGATTTATTAACAGTGCAAATAAACATATACAAGAGCTGAAATTAACTGACAGAATGACGACTGTGCTTTTAAACATGCATATAAATCTAATTTTCTAGAGAGAAGAAACATTACCCAGTATCTCTAATGTCCTACTTGTCCAACAACTGAGGAATGACCCAATGTTAATAAGCTAATACAGCTATCCTTCTTGCACAAGGCTATAAAGTCATGAGGAATCACTTTTCCACACTTAGAGCAAAATATTTATTCCATTTAGAGGGATGCCAGTTTGGTTCCACAGAAATAAGAAAATAATTATGAACAGCTTAACTGTGTAATACTTTTTTAGTTTTTCTTTTCTTTAACACTAAAGTGGAAAGGACTACATCATCACCCACTAGAGATTAGAAATGCAAAAATTCAATGAAGTTTCTCTGTGTTGACTTTAGCTGAGCAGGACTGTAGCAGGCTGCTTAACAACCAGCCCTGATTTTTGTAGGAACAGTCATAGAATCTACAAAGAGTTCAGCAGGCCCACCCATAAAAATCACACACCTGGTGTTATGGCTACAAAGAAAGAAGAGTGTACCAAATCCTAGAAACATAAGGGCTAACTCTGGGAACTGTCAGACCCACAAATGGGGGTAGGTACTTGTTATATGTGCTAATAAGTCACTTCAGTCGTGTCCAGCTCTGCAATCCCCATGGACTATAGCCCACCAGGCTCCTCTGTCCATGGGATTCTCCAGGCAATAATACTGGAGTGGGTTGCCATGCCCCCCTCCAGGACATCTTCCCTACCCAGGGATAGTACCTGCGTCTTTTATGTCTTCTGTAGTGGTAGGTGGCTTCTTGACCACTAGCGCCATCTGGGAAGCCCAAGTATTTGTTATATAGTTTCCTAGAGACTTCCCTGCTGGCTTAGACTGTAAAGCGTCTGTCTACAATGTGGGAGACCCGGGTTCGATCCCTGGGTGGGGAACCTGATCTGGAGAAGGAAATGGCAGCCCACTCCAGTATTCTAGCCTGAAAAATCCCATGGAGGGAGGAGCCTGGTAGGATACCGTCCACAGGGTCACAAAGAGTCAGACACAATTGAGCGACTTCACTCACTTAATTTACTTTTATTGGTTACAAAATAACCTTCAGAGAGAGAAATAGAATGTCAGAAGAAGAAAAGACCACAGATCTCTGAGCCAGCCAGCTTGCCCTAGCGACAAAAACCTAGGTCTCAGAGAGGTTCGTATCTTGCCCAAGGTCATACCCAGGAGCCAAGCCAGGTCACAGACTTTGCTGTCTACTTCCCAGGACAACATTCTTTTCTTTGTTGCTCAGACAGAGTTGTCCTTCTACAATATTCCTCATTGGATTTGTTCTCTGAGAATACAGTTGCTCAGAATAAGGATAGCTCAAGAACAGAACCACATTTTACTTATTGGTGGATTCCTAGTACCTGACATAATGCATGCTACATAATAGCCATTCAGTTAAGGGTAGGATAAATGCAGGAATGTGCCTCTGGAGCCCTAGAGAAATCAGTGCAGATGATTGAAAGACACTGGAAAGACAGTCAGATCCAGATGCTAGGTCTGATTCTGCGACTGATTGTCAAGGGGTCAGGGTACAGTCCATTCTCCTCAGAAATTTCAGAAACATTTGAAGAGGAGGAGGAAGGATAAAAGAGAAAGTGGCGGTAACTTGAGAGCTTGAGCTCAATTTATTCTGAATGACATTAAAAATAGATATGGATTATCAACGCTATATCAGAAAATGTCTTCTCCCAAAATAGATAAATGGATATATAAGATGTGGTATATAGATGTAGATATATATTATGTATATGTATATATACACACACAGTGGAATACTCAGCCACTAAAAAACTGAAATTTTGCCATTTGTAGAAGGATGGGAGAAATAGGTGAATGGAATTAAGAGGTACAATTCTCCAGTTATAAAATAAATAAGCCATGGGAACATAATATATACCATAAGCAATATGGTCGATAATATTTTATAAATTTGTATGAGGACAGATGGTTACTAGAGTTATCGCAATGATCATTTCATAATGTATGTAAATGTCAAATCACTATGAAATATACCTGAAACCAACATAATACTGTACATCAATAAAACATTTGGTAAAATTTTTTTAATATATATTTCAATAAAAACTTCAAGATGATGGTATAGCAAAGGGACTTGGTGTCACAAGAAGGACTAAAAATAAACACAACTCACTCACAGAATCTACTGGATTTATGATCACTGCTCAAATTCAGAGAACATTCCAAGTGGAATGTTCTTGGCTGCTGGAATACCCCTATGTGTAGAATGTAACAGTGAAGTCAATCCAAATAGGACATCATCACACATCTGATCCATTCTCATTACCATGGACCCACAGCAGGATATGCTGCCTGCTTTGGTAACTCAGAGTTCTTTTGTACAACAAACTGTGATTACTTCATAAAGGTCACTTCTCCCAAATCCCTGGAAACCATGGCACACCAACCCACCAAGATCACAGAAGCAATTAAAAGTGTTTAACCGGGAAGGTTGCCAGGACCAGATGGCTTCTGCCAGTGGGTTTTTGTTTTTGTTTTAAACTGCACAACACTAGGGAAACAGCATTTATTTGCCTCATATTTATTTTCTAGTTTTTTTTTCATATTTATAAAATAATGCACTCATTATAGGGATTCTCATTACATGGACATTAGAATGTGGGTCATGAGAGACAATGATAGATTCTTTCCCCTGCCCCCATCATGTCCATTGTGGTTCAAATCAGCTCAAAGTTTGCCATATATACTCTACTAGTATGAATGCATATAAAATCCTACTTCTGGGAAGTAAAGGGTTCTTCAAGAGCTTTTGGAATTAGACTATAGAATAATCTATATACTAAGAAAGGGGTCAGATGACCTTTAACAAAACGGTCACTTTGTGCTACAAAAATACTCTGCACCCCTAATTTTGTAGTTTACATTTGCCAAACACTACCACTTATTATCTATAAGATAATTATTAATATATCAGGTAGATTTATTTAACCGAGATAAGGATTCAGCTTAGAAGGTTATTTAAATCATACGATAATTATTAATATGTCAGATAGATTTATTTAACCGAGATAAAGATTCAGCTTAGAAAGTTACTTAAATCATACCAACATAGGGTGGCCATGGATCAAATCCTGGATCTGATGTTTCCTGTTTTTTTTTTTTTTTTTGTTCTTTTTTCAGCAAATTGACCTTGGGGAAATCATTATCTCTTCTGACCTTTGGAGATTATCATTGTCTATAATTAAAACAGTATGATATTTGCACATTTAAAGTACAAAAAAAAAGGTTTAAAAACATTTGGTGTATGATAAAGCGGCATCTCAAGTCAGTGAGAAAGAATTAATTTATAATAAATAATACTGAGACAACTGGGTAGTCACTTGGAAAAAGATAAAATTAGATCAGTACCTCACATCGTACACTAGAATAAACTCCAAATGGATCAGAGAGCTGGATGTAAAAAAGAAAAAAAAAGAAAACATGATTAATTCCTTAAAACATAAGATAGGAGAAAGCTTTTGTAAACATGACTCAAAAATCCATGAGCAATAACATATATATACATATATGTGTGCATGCATGCTAGGTCACTTCAGTCATGTCAAACTCTTTGCAACCCCATGGACTGTAGCCCACCAGGCTCCTCTGTCCATGGGATTCTCCAGGCAAGAATACTGGAGTGGGTTGCCATGCCCTCCTCCAGGGGATCTTTCCAACCCAGGGATCAAACCAGCATCTCTTATGTCCCCTGTATTGGCAGCCAGGTTCTTCACCACTAGAGCCGCCTGGGAAGCCCACATATATGTGTATATATATGTATAATATGAGCAATAAAACCACATATATGTGTATATATATGTATAATATGAGCAATAAAACCACATATATGTATATATTTATGTTTTTCAAAATATGAATCACAAACTATAAAAATATACTTGCAACTTAGGAATAGGCACAAAGAAATAATACTTCAACACAGAGAAAGCTCGCAGGAAAATACCAAAGGCCCAAGAGAACAGTGGGCAGCCTACACCCAAAAAGAAAAACAAATGTCTTCAAACATATGAAAAGATCCATAATATCACTTACAAGAGAAGTAAAATTCTACTAAGATACTCTTTCCTACTATTTGATCGACAAAAATGTGAAAGCTTTTTAACAGTTTAGTTGACAAGAAGAAACAAGGATTCTCCTATATTGCTAGTGAGCATGCAAAGCATTACAACTTGTATGATAGTGCATTTGACAATACCTAACAAAATTACATGTATGTTTTCCTTCTAATCCAGAAATCTCATTTATAGGAACCTACTCTATGATCACACCTCTATAAATCCAAACAGCATATCTACAAGGCTATTTGTGACGACACTGTATATAATAGCAAAAGACTAAAGAATTTCAAATAATCAACAGAGAATTTATTGAATAAGCCATGGCCATCTACTTAAAAAGGTGCTATGTAGTTATAAAAAAGGATGAAGAAGATCTCTGCAGAGAGTTATAGAATAATTTAAATATATTTAACAAGTGAAGTAGCAAGCAAGATGCTTATCTTTCTCATTAGTAAGGAAGAAATTAATAAACACACAATATACATGCATCTTATTACTTTTGTGGTAAGAAATGCCAAATGGTACACAAGCAATAATAATAATTGGTAACAATGTAAGCCCACCAGTGAAAGTCATTTTCTAGTCTATCTAGGATAGACTATTTTAGTTTTAAACTTGCTTTATTATACATATACATATGTTGTTTTTAATGTACAAAGATTTAGATATTCTTAAAAGCTTTTAAAGAATCACTTCAGTGTGTGACTATGTTGCTTGTTCTCTGATAACATAAAATTAACTTTCAATCAATACCTAAGTATTTCAAAAGTTATGAATTGCAATTATTTTAAGTAATTCTCAAAAGTGTCCTGCTTGGACAATGAATTATATATGACCACACCTACAGGGGACTGGGAGAAATGGATTAAAAAAATGAAAGCAAAACCTCTCTGCTGTATCTTTTACCACAGTTATTACTTTTAAATCCTGTGTATATACAAATAAATAAACTTTAAGAGAAACAAAACAATAAATTCTAACAATACAAACTGAAACAACCTAGTCTGTCTATCAGATTACTAGTTTAATCTCATAGAAAAAAATAGTTATTTCGAGTGACTTTTAAATACAGTTCATTTTATTTTGAGTGCCTTCTAAGGAAAAAGTGAACTGCAAAAAGCCCTATATTTTATCCAATAGTTTGTCTATTTGTATTGTTAGGGCTGCAATTTTGATGCTGTTTGGTCTATCAGGAAGAATAAAGCAAACGAGCNTTGATGCTGTTTGGTCTATCAGGAAGAATAAAGCAAACGAGCAAAAGTATCATTAAGAAAACAAGCATCTTAGTGTAAGAGAAAGGAATTACAAAGTCAAGGAGTTCTAACGAAATGCTGTGTAATGTTAGATTTGAATTGGAAATACCATTAGCTACTCATGACATTTATATATATATGCTGCTGCTGCGAAGTCGCTTCAGTCGTGTCTGACTCTGTGCGACAGAACAGACGATAGCCCACCAGGCTCCTTTGTCCCTGAGATTCTCCAGGTAAGAACAGGATTCTCCAGGCAAGGATGCCGGAGTGGGTTGCCATTTCCTTCTCCCTTATATATACCTATCTATACTTTTTTTCACTGTTCACTAAAAGGACCTAAGAAACAATAACACACTAGTGGTCAGGAGCATAACTAACACCAAGATCTTGGTTTCTAATTATCATTTTCTACTAAATGGAGTCAGAATACCTTGGAGAGATGACTAATTTTATATGTGGGGCGGGAAAAGTTCCAGAACATGAAAGCCAATTTGAAGGGGTCCTTCTTGACCAAATTTGGACATCAAAGAGAATACTGCTACTTTTTTTTTAATTGAAAGAGAATATTTGCCATCCTTAAAGCTGGTATTATATATTAACTTCTTATTCTAAGGGGAATGTATTAAGTCATCCTGCATTCACATAACTAACATCTTAAGACAATGAAGAAAAACATATTATAGAAAAATGCCCTGTAGAAGAAATAACATAATTAGAGCAAGTGAGCTACAGAGACCAAATGTGGCAAAATGCCAACAGACGGTGAATAAGGTAAAGTTGTATAATGGTGTTGTTTACTGCTCTTTCAACTTTTCTTTAGGTTTTTAATTATTCAAGATAAAAATGGAGGGTAAGCTCAGTGTTATGGGGAAACTTTGAGAGGTTTACAAAACAGTAAAGATATAAGATTCAAATGTAATTCACGAACCATGATTGGATCCTGGTTTGGCAAAAAGACAAAATATTATAAACAGTTGAGGAGGACAGTTGGGGAACATGCATATGAACTGGATATTAATAATACTGGAAAGTAATCATTAATTGTTTATTTTCTGGTAATGCTGTCAAGGTTATGTAGGAGATAAATATTGAAGCCATTCTGTCTACAAGTTACCTTCAAATGGTTCTGTGAAAATAATTACAGTTGTTTACATGGATCAGGGAAGATAAATTAATAGATTGATAATTTCATAAATAGATAATACATATATGGTATATTGCTAACAATTGTTGAATACCAAAACTATCAATGTTTATTATACTATTCTTTCAATATTATAGTAATTTTTAAAATTTGTTTGATAAAATGCTGAAAAAAATTAAAATCAAAGACAATATTGGGGGGTTTAACAAAATTACATATAAAGTATACAATTTGCACGCATAGGTGTGCCATCTTAAGATTCAGTTCAGTCACTCAGTTGTGTCCGACTCTTTGCGACCCCGTGGACTACAGCATGCCAGGCCTCCCTGTCCATCATCAACTGCCAGAGTTTACTCAAACTTATGTCCATCGCATCGGTGACGCCATCCAACCATCTCGTCCTCTGTCATCCCCTTCTCCTCATGCCTTCAATCTTTCCCAGCATCAGGGTCTTTTCCAGTGAGTCAGTTCTTCACATCAGGTGGCCAACATATTGGAGTTTCAGCTTCAGCATCAGTCCTTCCAATGAACACCCAGGACTGATTTCCTTTAGGATTGACAGGTTGGATCTTCTTGCAGTCCAAGGGACTCTCAAGAGTCTTCTCCAACACCACAGTTCAAAAGCATCAATTTTTCAGTGCTCAGCTTTCTTCACAGTCCAATTCTCACATCCATACACGACTACTGGAAAAACCATAGCTTTAAGTAGACAGACCTTTGTTGGTATCTCCTTTGTTGGTATCTTAAGATTCAACTTCTAAATAAATGCTGTTTTACCGTCTTCTTCTACTATCCTATATTTTATAACACAGAATGTCATTAACATGGGAAGGAAATTGGGGGCGCCTCACTGGGTTGAGTGAACAACTTTGGGTTTAGGAAACATAAGATTAAGAAGGCTGAATTACTATAAAATGGTCCCTTGACTTCCCTGTGTTTTAATTGGATCTTGTTGGCTAGTTCCATATTTCCCAAAGGAGGGGAGAAATGTTGATTTTCCCACTCTCTGTTTCAGCCCTTTCATTTAAACTCAGCCAAGTGAAGAATACCAGTAATCCTCCTTCTGCACTTCCTCTCCACACACCAAACTTCCCATGCACACACCCATGGTGCACTAATCTAACACACCGATTAAAGACCCCAATTACCATACTCATAACTCATGCTGCCACTGCAGCCAGAATTGCTGTTACTATCTAAGATGAATACCTTGTTAACACTCTCAATTTTGCCCCATCACTGAGTCCTTGTCCTGGGATTAGATGAAGACATGTTCTAGCAATTTAGCTCTTTTTTTTAAGTACTGTGTTTCCCACATTTACTTATGTTAAAAACATTTTTACCAACTAAAATATTTAGAATATAAATGAGTTTCACATATTCAATCAAGTCCCAGATTTTCCTTTGCTACTTCATTTTGCTTTAAAATCTTAATCCTTGTCATTTTCTGTTCCAGAACTATTATGCTTTGCTATAGAGTAAACAGAAAGAGAGAGAGGCTAATTTATAGATTAATTCATAGATATAAAGGTTATTCAGACATTTGAATCAAGTTGCAAATTCCTAGTTCACCTTCAAGTGCCAGCTGATATGGTATTTCCCTTGTAAGTCTGTTCAAACACACAGGCAAATACCAAACTAATCTATACCCCAGTAATTAGCACATCACAAGGACAAGAAAGAAAGCTGAGGGCTGAAGAATTGGTGTTTTTGAACTGTAGTGTTGGAGAAGACTCTTGAGATTCCCTTGGACTGCAAGGAGACCCAACTAGTCCATCCTAAAGGAAATCAGTCCTGAATGTTCATTGGCAGGACTGATGCTGAAGCTGAAACTCNGTGGCGGGAGAAGGGGACAACAGAGGATGAGATGGTTGGATGGCATCACCAACGCAATAGACATGAGTTTGAGTAAACTCCGGGAGTTGATGATGGACA